AAGTACTACAACTAATGATATCATAATTTTAAGCGATCTAGTAATAGTAGTAGTAGTAACCTTTACGTTTTTCTTTGACTCCCATAATACCATCATTATGATGATAATGAATGATAAGCTGTTAAGTAGTAGCCATAATGCAGCTGTAGCGGATTCTTCTAGTATTCGTACACGTACGGTATCCTGAAATTAAATAGACTAAAGCAATTTTTATACAGTAGCTCAAGTTTCTTCCCAGGACCCTCCCATTATTCCAGAGTAATCCACCACCAAAATTGCATCCCCATCCCTACAGATTCCACAAATTAATCCATAAAACTAGTTTGGGACCCCACTTGCCGCAACAATTAGTGGTCATGTCAAAAGAATGTCGTGTCTGACTTTGACGTGTGAAAAGGACAGAAGCCCCAAAAAGTGATTGACAGAAACGAGTGCCGGCCTGACCGCCGCTACCTGACTCACCTGAGGTTGAGAGCGAGTTCGACTGAGTATAATAAGGTTCAAGGGATGAATGATGAGATTCAGAAGAAGGAACACAGATAGGAGGGCCAGATGAAATGGTACAGCAAGGACGAGTGATCGTGATGTTCGAACGAGCAGGAAATCCGCCAGAAGAAGAATCGCCACCAATATCCAACTGCTGGCAAGCAGGCGTGATGACTGACATCTGGAAAGTTTTTTTGTTAGGCAGAGGTTGTTTTCGCTCGGCCTGAGCTTAGATGGCCCACAAACTTCTTTGGCAACCTTCATAGTTACTAAATGGTCAATGGTGTTGCAGTAAAGCAGTTTGGACATGAAAGCAGGGGTCCTTACAAGGAGTTTGAGCCTTTCTGAGTGTCCCAATTCTCAGGACTTACTTCCTGAAGGGGTTCAGTGGACCTACTTCCTCTAAGGCATGTTCCAGTAAATGCCGGGGGCTCATCTTCCGACTTTCCAAAAAAATGTAGTCCTCATATATTTAATCTGCAAGAATAAGGTTGTAATGGTGAAATACGAATGCCAGGTGTTCGAGAAGTTCAATCTTCTTTGTGAAGTGATTCACCGGAAGGTATTGAAAGATTAGTTGTGAAACAGGTGTGTTCTGCGGTGGCGACTTCCGTTCGGCTATCCTATGCCAGGAATGCTTTCCAAAAACCCAACCACTCATCCCTGATAGTCAGCCGCTCCGCTGGCTTTTCTTATAAGATTACGGCGGGTCATGAAAGACTTGTATAGTTGTGGATGAACGTTTATGCTTAAAGTAAGGGTATAATAGGTATTTATTGAGTTTTCTATGAGTACAAGGCCATGTAGCGTAGTGGAGTGAGGCGCTGCCCTTGCATCCACACCGATAGGATCATTGCTTCACCTCAGCCCTTCACATTTTTTGCTGAGATTAAATAAGAAACTGGACGTCAAAGGTGGTTGATTTGTGCTAAATGCTGTACAGTACAGGTCCAATGCCTATTCAGAGCTTCCCGTTTTTGGATGGACGTCAAGTGCATGGCGTTTTTCAAAAGAATGTTG